GCGCGGGGTCATGTTCGGCGCCCCTCCCACGCTTGCTCGGGAGCTACAGCTGTCAGACGTCTGCTGCTTCTGACCGAAGTTGTGGCTGCAGGATCGCTTCTCGGCTGACCTCAAGGAGGCACAGAGTGCCTTGGCCCACATGGGAAGCCGCCTCCATGATCTCGAAAAGGGCAAGGGCGACGCTACCCTTGCAACTTGGCAACATCAGGGCGCATGATCAGCGTTGCTGCTAGCATGCAGTGTGCTCGCCATGGCGCTTAGGTGGCAGACTTGGACGAAGAGATGGGCCACATGATCGATGCTTTGCATGAGGCCCCGTCTCCGTGTCGAGGGTGCAGAGGGTGGACGTATTGAGCCACAGTCTGCTCATTCCTGAGGTGGAGACCGACTTCGACAATTTGTACAAGCAGTCGAGCCGTGCAGCTTGGCTTATGGGTGCGCAGGATGTTCCGGAAGTCAAGCAGCCGCTGGACTCTTTGCCGAGGCCAGCATGCCCGCACCGCCTCAGAGCCAGCAGTGATGCAGCCGACTCGGATGCTCAGGCTCGGGCCGTGCATGGTTTTATGTAAGTGCAGACTGCCCTTTGCACAAGACTTATGTCTTTCTGAGCCGCTTAATTCAGTTCGCACGCAGCATAGTCTGGCTTTTGCTTTTCTCGTTGTATAGACGGAGAAACGTGCATGCCTCCTCTCGTGTCTTGGAAAGACACAGGCGCGAGATCTCTCAGTTGTGATTTTGGGGCCAGGGCCACGTAGAATCGCAGACTTGGAACGGCTAAACGCGCTTCCGCGCGCGAGCTCTCCTAAGTGGGAGGCCATTCCTAGGCGTCCGGCCCTGACCCATCCTGGGCTATTCAAAGACACAGCCCCGACCACGTCAAATGGTCAGACTTCTTGTTAGGCCACAGGGCCATGCACCTAGAAGCGCGAAGAGTAAAACGGCGTTTGGGTCGGGCTCCAAATGCCCCAGTAGCATCAGCACTCACTGCGTTTCCTCTGATGTGCCCTTGGCTTCGTCGTCGCGCCGGGGGCTCCACCGCACCCGAAATACGCGAAGCGCGATGGACGAAGCTCGCCAAAGTCGATCTTCCGAACTTCTCGCTAGCTCCACATTCAAAGACTCAAAGATTTCAGACGTTCAGGATTAAGGTTGAGCCAGTGAACGCCGACCTCAATCTTTCGATCGCTTCCTGCTGAGTTACGGAGACAGAGCAGCAAGTGAAGGGTTGCTAGGACTTGTCTCTTGTTTTCTGGGCTGTATTCACAGGCCTGGCTTGCACATGTTGGGCACCCATACCGAGAGAGATGGATCGTGGAATGTTCCATCTTCACTGTCGCACAACTCTGTGTGTGTGTGTTCAGGGATTCGCATGCCAACCAGCTTTCCATCGCAGCCTTGGTCGTCCTGCCTCTCAAGCATCACTGTAAAGCCGCGTCATCTACTGTCTAGACGCCCATCTTCCAGCCATGACGCAGACGATCCCG